AGCACTTGGAAGAGAACTTAACTGTTTGACTTCCATTATTTCAGTCTGCTAAAGTACGCTTCTCCTTTGAAAAAGATTTTCAGTATTACGTGGTATCTGCTTATCATTGAGGTTTGCTGTGTTTTCTTTGTGAATACTTGATGCCTTATTAACCCACATTACTCCTTTTTCAGTGTTATGCCTTGTGTTTTTTTGATAGGTTGATTGAGATAGCAGGAAACAGATTCCCTACTTATTTTGACTCTGATGAAAAGCTGTTCTGCATGACTGGTAACATTCACCTGTATCGAGAGCTGACCTGTGGCAGTGTACTGAAGAGGTATTCTTGTCCAGAGGTTGTTTTTTTTTTTAAAAAAGACCATTTTGACTGGATTGTCTATAACAATATTTGTTTTATATCAAAGTTTTATGAAGAGTAATTAATTTATTTGAGGCCTTTTCATGTTGATAACAGCGTGGTCTTCAACAAAGTAAAATTGCTGCAGGAAGACTGACTTCACTTTTCTCAGTTCATAGTGTGTGACTAATCCACTTGATGTTTTCTAATTCCTGATAGACAATTTCTATACGATCTGATCCCTGTAAGCCTTTAAAGGGGAGTGTTCATGTGACAGGCCTTATCCCTCTTGTGGAGAGACCATAGTATAAGACTTAGATTTTTCCAGTTTGCTCTCCCAGAGCACAGTTTACTTCCAGGAAGACTGGGACCCCGCCAGCAGTGGGAAGGAGGAATTGTTTCACAGTCATCAGCCTGAATGCTGTTGTTGGCAGTGTCACATTGTCATGTTGTTACCTTAAGCTAATTTGTGAACACATTTTTCAATGAAAATTAAGTTGTGTTTTAGCATCATCTTGTGTATTTTATGTTAGTGTGAGAATTATTCTAAGAATAGTTTCTTCTTCTAGTACAGCTTTATCAGAACAGCCAGTAGCTTATTGTCAATGGATTAGGTTTGGCATACTGTCTTTGGAGGTATACGGAAACGAATTTGACCTTCTGCATATATAGACACCAAAGATTCTGGTGTTAGCAATGGGGTGCTACTGCTGTGAGCAAAAAGGCACAGTTTCAATGTCCTCTTAACTTGCTGTCTGCCTTTCAGGGGTTGTACAGCACAGTGTTGCTAACTAGAGGTTCTTATGAACCTCTCTGTTGAAGGGTTCCTGCCTTGGGTTATGTGGCCCACTGCAGCCTCAGATTCCTTTCCAAATCTCTTCAATACATGCAAATTTTAGTGGAGGTGGTGTGTGAGTGGTAAAAGGAGCATCTGACTTTCAGCTTGTTTAAATAAAAGGTTTACTTTAATAATTCCAGGGTTATAAAATGGTTCTATCGTGTAAATAATATCAATGACTGTTTCGGGGGTTTTTTGTTTTCTTTTTTAGGATTATGTCTTTGGAAGAAGAAATTATTTCAAAGCAAGTTAAACTCATAATACTTGACTCTGTTGCTTCAGTTGTCAGAAAGGAATTTGACACAAAACTCCAAGGCAACCTGGCAGAGAGAAGTAACTTTTTGGCGAGAGGAGCATCAGTGTTGAAGTATTTGGCAGAGGAGTTCTCAATACCAGTAAGTTCTTCCTCCTTTCTTAAGTTCTTGCCATACAGTATAAAGTAATAAAATCTTAGAAGAATGAAAATGACAGGAAGTTGAAAACCAGAAAAGGCTTGTAGCAGGAATCTTCAAGCAAGTACCAGTTGGAAAATAGTTTGCAAATGGGGAAACAGTAACTGTTCTGCTTGGTATCTGTTTTTTTGGTTTTTTTTTTTTCCTTTGGACTTCAAATAAGGGTTTACAAGATTGTCCAGCTGTGTTTCAGTGCTTTGTTTTTTATTTTTTTTCTTAAATCTCATATTTTATTTTGCTACCTTTAAATATTGCTTACCCTGATGGTTCCTTCCTAATGCAATGCTTACTCTAAGTAGTGCATGCTCTGACTAGGTGAAGATCTTTTCCTGCCTGTTCATTCTACTTATAGAATGATAGATTATAGAATCTCAAAAGGCCTTATGCTCTGGATCAGTGTAAATTCCTTTTGTGACTGGTAACATATGGTAATTCAGAAAGGAAGGTAACAGCTCAGCAAATCCTTGTCTGTGAACTTGCTCATAAAATACAAAGGAAGACACGGACACTCAGTGCAGGGACTCAGTGGAACTGATTGAAAACTGCTTTAGAAGATGTAAGCTGCATAAGCGTGTGCATGTTCCTTCATTATATGATCCACAGAGGATCATATCAACTCAAAAGATGTCATTGAGACTCAATTCTTGGAAGTATTTCCTAGTATGGGAAACCTACTGGTCACTCCAGTGTAAGAGAGAAACTGTGGTAAGAACTTGAGAAAGTCTGGTGAGGCCTTTTCCTTCTGACCCTCCTGAGGGGTATATTTCTGGTATAGTATTTGCTGTGATGTCAGAGGTGTGGAACTGGCTGACTTAAGAGGAATGGATTTCCTTCTGTCATGTAATTTCTAAAGACCTTTTGATGGAGAAGATGAAACCCTGCGTAAGTGCCTTTAAAGTTCAGGTACAGAAGGTAACGTCCTAGTTAATGCACCCAATTAACATTTATAGTGCTTTAAAAAGCCGGGGAAGGCTTGTGTGTAAGTACGTATACTCTCATATTTTGGGAAAATATTATGCAGCCCTTTGAAAAAGGGGACAAGTGTTATGGGAATATACTATTTTTCTCTCTTCCTCTATTTTCTTCTCCTTCAGACACCCCCTTCATTATAGTGGTGAAGCTGTGCTCTGTTGGAGGCTCTGACAGTTCAGGCTGCTGCCCTGCTTATAGTCAGAAGGACAGTGTTGATACTCACAAGTTTTAGGCTACTTCATATTCTCCAACTCTAAGATTGTGATCCTAATTCATCCTACATAAGAAGAAAATAAAGCTGGAACTTTTTAGCGGTTTCCATTAATGCTTTGAGGCATTTGCAATACCTGGTGTTCTGGTGTTGTCCATGTTTCTCACTGTGAATACTTTGATAAAGAGGTCTGGAATTTTGGACAGGAACTTGTGCTCTGGTCACAGCTCTGTCTTTTTGATCTGGTCCATGAGATATCTTACCTCGTAAATAAAAACTTTAAAGATCCGTTAAATTATATATAAATACACAGAGTGAAAGCTTGTATATTTTTAAAGCACCTATTGATTAGGTTTATCAATTTATTCAATGGAAATACAACTGTATTTCCATTTATTGTCATCTTTAACGCACATTGCTTGGGGGTTGGTTCTGGAGTATTTTAAAAATTTGTTAAATTTTATGTTACAAAATAAACTGTAGTAACTCCTATTAGTTAAGAATTCTTCTAATTAAGAAGGGCTTTGGCTAGAGATTTAGGTTCTTGCAAACATGGATCCCTAAGCAAGGCTGTGTATGAGTAACATGCAAAATCCAACAGCAGAGTGTTATGCATCTGCAAGTGTTCACGCATACAAGAGATAAGTCTGCTGTTGCGTATACTGCATTAACCTCTGCTGCTTGAGGTTACGGAGTATCTGAGGTTCTAATTGAAATAACTGTGTTGGAATTATTTCATATGGTTTTACTTACCTAGAAAATCAATAAATATAAATTTGGGGCTAAAAGAACATTAGTAAGGTTGCAAAGTGATTTAGATCACTAATAAATTGGACACCTATGTAATACTTGTTTCATGGCAGAATCAGTGCAACTAAATACTGAGCTGGGCAACAAGTAGGGGAACTCAGTCTGATATTCTGAAAAAGATTCGGAGTTGATGGCTGATACGAGTTGAACTTGAAGTCAATCCTTTTGGCTGTAACTAAAAGGTCTGGTGAAAAACTTTGCGTAGTTGAGCAAGGGAATCGGAAATAAGGAGGTTGTGTGTTATCTATTTAGCTGTAACTGTTACTGGAGCAGTACACCTGGTGTGAACAGTCCAGGGAAGATGGTGAAAAATCAGCTTCCGGAGAATAGCCTTGAAAATGACTGGGAGAAGGGGAGAGCAGTCTTGGTAATTAAGACATAAGGTGCTTACTTTGTTTAGCTTAGCTAAGGATTTAAGGGTTTCTTCCATAGTCAATATGTACCTACTTGAGGAAGAGATATTTGATAAAAGCAACCTTCTCTTCAGCTGACAAAGGTATACCACAGTTCTGTGGTTGGAAACTGAATTAAGCAAGTTCAGACTTTAAATAAGGAGTGTGTTCTTACTGGACTAATTATTGGAATGCATTTGTAAACATAAATAGTTTCTTGTTACTGAGTGTTTTTAAATGATCTTTTTTTTCCCCATTTCCTAAGAAGGAAATGGGTTCAAATAGGATTAAATTTGAGGAACCCCTATACTACCATGTTATGCTGAAGTTCAAGTGAGTTTAACTCTGTTCTTTCTGCTGGTGTTCTACACTCTGTAGCTGTTTGTAACTGTGTGTTCATGGTGTCAGGATATCGAGTTTGATGTGCAAAAGTGACTAGCATTCATAGCTTTTACCAAACTCAAAGGGAACTGTTTCAAACCCAAGTAGCTCAACATGGTATGAAGTAGTTGGGGAAAAAAGCTGACCTTAGCTGCCTCAAAACTGATTCTCATTGTTCAGTAACCTCTCTGCACCTCTATTTTCAGTTTGTAAAATGGGAATAACAGAGCTGTTTGTGAGGATAGGGTCATTACTGTTCAGAAAGTGCTCATACTGTGTCCATGAACAATGTATAGATGCTCGTTGGACAGTAACACTTGCCATCCTCAGTGTAAAATCTAAATCATGTGTAGTAAATGAAACCTTAATCCATCTTTTGAGATGCAAAAAAAATATTAAATATATTCATTGAATGGCACCATCTTAGCCACTGAATGAAGCAAGTGAAAGTGCGTGATTATAAATTTTTACTTGACTTAATGGTTTTTGAAATTTTTTTTGTTTGTAAAATACAAAGAAAGACAAAACTTTTTTTATTATGTATGGATGTTAGTAAAACATAAGTTGTTTCTCAAAAAGTGAAATATGATGCCTGATTTCCTTTTTTGATCCATCTTCCATCTAATTTAGCAGTAAGCCCAATTCCATCCTAGGCTCTTTAAATGATGCCTGGCCAAGAGGCAGCACAAGGTTTGGATCGCTTCTGGCCTATTGACAAGCCACCTGGCAGTTGTACTGATGAGTGAACAGTTACTGAAGCATTTTCCTCCATGGGGCACTGTGTAGCAATGTCCCTTTTTCCCCTTCTCTGCACACAGCCATGACCAAAACCGACTTTTTTTTTCTGCCAGGTTTGGTTGAAACTAGCCAGTCAGATCAAAAGTGATTGCTAGAAACTGAGAAGGATAGCTTGACTATAAATGAAACAAAAAGCCCTTTATTTTTGAAATCCAATGAATATGTAAAGCTATATGAAAAGTTTACATTATATTTATCTATTTTAGAGCATACTGTACTTGAGAGCATTTGGATCGGAATGTTTTCTGTTACAATGTATGTTGATGCTGTCTACCAGATTACATATTTAAGCAGCAGTAATCAGTCCTATATGTTTCCTGTCTAGATTCCTGACTTCCTTAGCCTTCTGAAGAAGAATAGAAAAAAAAAATACAATCTGGATTTTCTTTCTTCTCTTCCTCCATATACGTAGGAAAATATTTACGATTAGTAAGTGGTAGTCAGTAAAATTAATTTAGTGTTCATGCTGGGTGAGAGAGAAAGGATGTCTCCGTTTCAGTGAAGAACTAAAACTAAAACCTAATATGACTAGAATTGTTCTTGAGATTTAACTGTTTAGCTTCCAAAAATTATTATTTCTAGAACCTGGTCTTCTAGTTGTTAGTACTTGAGAAAATGTGTGAAGCTGGCTAGACATCTTTGTGGAAAAGTACTCTAAGAGTGGCAGTTGCAAAACCAAACTGCTTTAAGCATTCTTTTAAATGTCAAATTGAGACTGAAGATGAAACTTGCTTTGTAGGTCCCTAAGGCTAATCAAATTACAGCACTGGCTATGCTTTATACTGTTGTCTGGGTTGTGTTCTTAGATCTGTTGAGTGAACCTTTGTTATTTATGATAAGCATGTTAGTTATCATTACTACCAGCAAATGTGTAATAGTATCTTTCATTCTTTTTTTTTTTTAAATTGTTCTTTGTGAGAATATGAAATAGGTTAGGAGGAAAGATCTCATCTCTCACTTGTGATTTGTAGTGCAAATGAGAGACAAACCTCGCGTAACTATTCCCTAATGCTTTTATTTGCTATGATGAGTAAGTTAACAGTAGTCAAGAAGCCCATAATTTCCACAGCTAATGTTTTTTTCCCCTTTAGATGCCACATGCTCCATTTAAAAAGTAAAAATTCACTTTATCAGTATTGATAATATGACAGCAATTAAAGCTGTCGTAGTCAATTTTCTTTTCACAGTCAGTTCTTACATTTTTTGTTTCAGTGCTTCACACACACTTTATGCAGTCTGCTCTGTAAACTTTATACCCAAGATTTTAATTTGCTTTGGAAAGCCAAATGTTTAGCTAAATATATATTTGATTTTGGGTTGTGTAAGTTTTTGCTGCTTAAAATCAATTTATAAAAGTGCAAATTACTTGACATCTGCAG